GGGAAGCGAGTGGGGGTAACACGTGGCTCTAACACATCCCTAAGCCTCACAGGTGCTCAAAGGTGAAGTTAGTGCTGTCTGTGCAGCTGAATTCTGACACATCCCAACTCCTGAGGGCTCAACTGAGCACAGTTCCTCAGAGGTGTTGCTGTGTCCAGCTGCTTCGTGAATGTGTTAACCTTTTTTTGTATTAGTCATTGCTCAGTTTCTGAAGTTTTTAACTGTAACTGAAGTAAGACCTGCACAACTGAGAGCAGTGACACAACTCACCCTCAAAGTTGTTTAGTATTAGGAGTGTAAACAGGCAAAGCACTTGAAAAACTTTATTTTTATTTAAGATGCATGAATTCTGTTTGTCCAGCCCCATTCATGCAACTTGCACAGCTCTCTAAACCTTCTCTGAATCTCTCCCAGTCACCATCAGCCCAAATGGAGTTATTTAGCCACTGTCTTCTCCCCACAAATCCACCTAGTGATGGTAGAACTATCACAGCTCTACACCAGTTTTTATTGCATAAGATAAGTCTGAGAGAAGTGGTCTGTCTTGCCACCTATTTTCAGAGGACCTTGTTCACACACTGCAGGGACACCAGCATACTCTTCACATGCAATACTCTTCATAAACCAATAGACAGAAACTTTTTTTTTTTTTAAATGAAAACATAGCTGCCTCAAAACTGAAGTAGTATCATGCTGGCTAAAATACCACTAACATCCCCAGCCTTTTTTTATTATTAAATGCTGATTCAGCTTTTTGCTGAATACAAGAAATAGCTTAATAATAAAGCAAATTACTGTGTAACATTACTTTGCATCACATTTGCAGCTGTTTCCATTTAACATTAACTTATATTGTGTTCCAAACATACTCCCACTAGATAAATTATCGCATTATGTGGATTTTCAAGTACTGCACTATACTTTTAATTACGGTAACATGTTAGTGCATATGGAGTACAACCAACACTATGAAAACTTTGATTTATGCAGTTAGAAAACACTTTCTTGGAGTAACATCTTAGAGCAAATTTAGAAAACACACTGTTTCACGGTACATGCAAAACTGTCAACTCAATCTTGATTTATTTCCTACAAAACAGATAATATATACAGCAATATATGAAAGAATTTGTTGTTACTCTGCGTTCCAGAACAGCAAAACTCCATGTTTGGAGATGAAACCGTAGTATTAAAATGCATTAGAAGGCACTAATTGTAAGAGAATCACACAAGCATTTCTTAATTAACAAATGCAGCACTTCATTGACTGGATTGTTTTGATTATTTTGTAAGAAAGATGTGTAGTTCCATTACCTGAATTAAGGGTTTTGCATACAAAAGCACATTAACTTTGCATTTGGTGGCACTTACATAATTGACGCTACATGAAATATTAGAAGATTTCTATCAGCTGCTGGGTGTTGTTTGCCTCTACAGAAATTTGTGGTATCCAGCAGCTCAAGTACGATACAGTTATTGTGTCATTTGGAGGGTCAGAAATCGGTTCGCAATGTTTTCCAAGACTTTATTATGGATAAAGTTTTACTAATGTTCTGTATGTGACCACACAGAAAACATCATTGGCCCAGACTCTTCCAACAAGTACTGCTACAAAACTGGAGTTAACACTATCTTGATATTAACTATATTTCAAATGGTTGGCTCATGTAATTTTGTGCATTTCTAAAGATGTATTTACCTTCCAACACAAATAAGGTACTTGACTCAAAGACGTTCGTACACACACAGAAGTTCCACTCCCTTATGGGAGGAGTTTGAAGCCAGCAGGCAATTCCAGAACTCCACCGGGCCTGACAGTCACTGCTCTCCCTTTATATGTTATTAACGTCCAGACCATGCTTCATGTGGAACTGGGATTAACTGCAGAGCTCTTCTGGTTCATAAGAAATGCTGATGAATGGGCACCATCATAAAAATCAAACAACACAAACACACGACTTCCACTCTTGCTAGCTTTATGAAACTTAAAGAAAACATTTCCAAATGCAAATAAGAAACATGATGGAAGAGGGGCAGGGAGAAGAGGCACAGGGCATGCAATAGAGAATCACATGGTTCAGAGACTCTTTTTGGCACCACTGGGACAGGAAAACAGAATGGCCAGTAATGCTACAGCAATCTTGTTTCACCAAAAAAAGAGTGCAAAAGTCTTCTAACGATATCAATTGAAGTTACAGTTCTCTCCTTTTTCCTGTTCCGGGTGCTGCGCAACGCTGTACAAAAGAGCCATTACTCATGTATGTATACAGAAAGTAGATTTACAACAAGCAAGGTATTTTCTGCTGTGTGTTTCAGAATATAAGAATTCACCTGTCTGTTGCTTGGTAGTGTAGCTAAAGATTACACCACCACACTCTCCTAAACAGAGGGGCTAACCCAGAAACACAATGAATCACTCCTGAAAAGGCAATGACATGAAATCCAAGACCTGGGAGTGACCTCGTGTTGCGTTCTACAAAACCAAAGGCAAGGTTCCTTAACACGCGTTACAGAACAAAGACAGTTTTAAAAAATTGGAAATGAGCAGCTATAGCAAAAGGAGGATAAACACTGATGATCACACTTGCCAGTAGTACCAGAAAGCCTCTAAAACACCAAAAGAACACTTAAAAGAAAGAAGAACAATAACTGAAGTTAAATTTATATCTATTTTCATCAAGTGGGGAAAAACGTGAACTCAGAGCTCACTGGTGAGAAGGAAGCACAGAGGAAAGGGGAATGGTGAGATTTTTTTTTCTGAAAGATAACAAATTTGATTTAAAACAAACATAGATGATTACACCAACAAAAACAGGCAAGAAACTCTAGTGGCATGTAAGCATAGATGTTCATCAGATGCTCTGTGGCCTATTTAAGAGTACCTATTTAAGAGTACTTAAGATTCTGGAAGAGCAACTTCTCCAACATTTACCCTTCTGGAAACATCCACTCTTATCAGACAACTGGTATAGTGTTCTAAATTATGTCAGGCACAACCAATAAATCGAGTTTGTAACTTTCAGAATGGGGCCCTCTTAGGGCAGAACACAGAAAAGGTGTGACTTACTGAAATAAAAACTTGCTATCCGAAGTCAACTCCTCTCTACTAAGTCACACTGGATCAAAAATTTCAGTTACCAATGGCATTATACAGACCTGACGCAAGAATTACTTTTGTGCAAATATTTCACTTCAGGGGCTTCTGTATCTCTAATGGAATCAAGTCTCTAAGCCTCTTTTCCTAGAAGTTGGAAAAGCATGCTTCCAGTATTAACAGAAGCTATCCCAGCCCTACAACAGAAGTCAACAGAAACAAAATACATTGAAATAAACAGAGAACCAGTGAGAAACTATTTCAGTTTTTCAAAAAGAAGAAACACTGAAGAATCCCCTTCAGAAAGAAAACAATAGACCTGGTTTAGTTACAAATCACTCCCATCTAAACATCAACATACAAGCACAGGAACACTACTCTTGCTGTAGCAACCAGAAACTGACACCCATTAGGCAAATGTACAATACAGACTTCACCAGAAATTCACCTGTAAAGAACCTTTTAGATTTTCTCTACTTGTACAGAAAGGCTGCTCAGGACAAAAGCATCTTTTCAGCAAATACCACAACCTTTTTGTTTAAAAAACAAACAAACAACGCATTCCACACACTTATCTCTGAAAAACACTAGCAAACAACAGGACATCACTTTGATAATTTTTACCTGTTCAATCTAGAAAAGCCTGTATCCTACTATTTATTGTACTTCAAAGAGAGTATCATGGATGCAAGCACCATAGACAGACTTATGGAGGACGTTATCACATAAGCTCACTAAAAAACTTTGTAACCAATCCTCATTTCACTTATTTTTTACCAGCTGAATTTTTGGCCACACACAGATCCAGCACCTTCACCTCTACCCTCTTGGGAAAAGATGTATTGCACACAGAAGAGAGGGAGCTGGGGAGGAGCAGGGGGAAGAACAGGAAAGAGGATCTGGTGTTCACACAAAGTTTTCTCTAATCCAAGTAAGTACGAGCTTGTGGATGTGAGCAAAACAGTCACTTGTTCACACGAGTAAGTGCTCCTGTTTAGCAAGACGCACATGAGATAGTGAGATAGAAAACGTACACAGTGTCCTGTGGCCTGACAACAAGCTAGCAACATAATGCCAGCAACATTACCCACCAATACCAAGTTGTCCTACGGTGTTTCTGCCAAAATATGTTAGGAATAAATAAAGAGAAATGAGGTAGCAGAGAAAATGGAGACGGGGGTCGAAATAAGTTCCTAATATGGCAGAAAGTTACGCTTTCAGGTGACTAAGTGCAGCATAAAGAGCGTCTTCGTACTACCCTAGTACCTTACCTGCGGACAGGAAGGCTGCAAAAATAACAGCAGCAGCCAAGCGACTTTCTCCGACACCACGCTCCGTTTTGCACAGCCCCCCTCCCAGCGCTCAGCCCTCCCTCGCCCCGCTCTTTGCGACTGACTCCCAGCAACTCTCGCACCGCCCCGCCCGCAACCGTACACGGCGGCACACGGGCAGCGCGCGGCACGCGATGACCTCCCGCACTCCCACAACACACGCCACTACCCCTGGCGGCGGACACGTCGGCAGGCCGCCCCGCGCCCCCCGCAGGCCCGCCCATCGCGGCCGGGCCCCGCCGGGGGCAGAGGGGCCCTCGCGGCCGCCCGCCCTCGGACGCGGAGGAACGGCCTCCCCCCCACCCCAGACGGGCCCCGCTCCCGCGGCCGGAGGGCCCCGCCGCAGGCCGCGCGGGTAGACGGCCCGTCACGGCCGCCTCCCTCCCATGACACTGCAGAGCGCGGCCCGGCCGCCGCCCTCCGCCGCCGGGGCCTCCTTCCGCCGCTGCCGGCTCCGCGGGCCCCCTCCCGGCGGCGACGGCGCCATGATGATCGGCCCGAGAGGGCGCCGCGCCGGGCCCCGGCGCCGGGCCGGGCCCCGCGCGCCCCGCGGCCTGCCGGCCCACGCCGCTCACCTTCATGTCGGGACATCCTAGTCCGGAGGCGGCGGCCCAGGCCCGTTCCGGGGCTCCCGCGGGCTGCTTGGGCGCCGCTGCGGCCTGGCCCCCCGCCGCCACCACTGCCGCCACCACAGCCGCCGCCGCGCGCACGGAGCTCCGGTGCGAGGGGAGCGGGTCCGGGGGGAGGGCCAAAAGGGGGCAAATATACAAGAGACGGCGAGGAGCCGGCCTCCCTCCCCTCCTCCCGCTCCTCCTCCCTCCCTCCTTCGCTTCGCGGGGGGCGGATCCGGCAGCGGCGGCTTCCCGGGCGCCGTGACACGGTGACTCCGGGCCCCGCCGGCTCCAGGCGCCGCCCCCTGCCCGCTCCCCTCCGCCCCGCCCGCTGCCGCAGCGACGGCGGCGGCCGCGCTGGAGCGCTGCCGGCCCCTTCCTCCTGCTCCAGGAGGAAGAGGAAATGCTCTGCCGGGCCCTCCGGCACCGCCCAGCGCCGCCGAAGCGCGGGGCGGCGGTCCTGCTGCTTGAGCTGCCGGGCGCGCCGGCTGGGGCGGCCCCGGGAAGAATGGCCAGAGCAGGGCGGAGCGCGAGTGCGGATCGGCCGAGGCCTTTCTAAAGGGAAAAGTAGTAATAATGATAATAATAATAAAAGCCAGGACCAGCGCGCATGCTCCGAGCAGGTTTTCCTATCGCTTATTGTTATCGTTGAAGCAGTTTGGGGAGCTCGCTGTTGGCTGGGAGTCGCAAGGTCGTTCCCTTTCCGCCCCTGAACCCCGTTCTTTGGTTCGGGTCCTTTTTTTGATCTTCTGCCACGATCAGGCAGGACAAGCGTGTCTGCCAAAAGTGTGCACGGGCTGGGCCAAGGAGAGGCAGGCCGTATTTGCTGAGTGTTGCCGAAGTCCCGCTCCATTTTTCCATGCACACAGAACTTTTTGTATTGTCACGTTTGATGTCAGTCCTTTCATATAGTCCTGGGATGAGTAGAACACACATGACTTGGCCATGCTATTTCCTGGTTGAGAGGAACGTGGTGTGTACCAAGCAACCTGCTGCCATGCTGCCTTTCTCATCACGATTTTCCTCTTTTTTATACAGATTTCTTCCTGAACAGCACAGTCTTTGTCTCTTTGTACCTGCTTCTCTTTTCCTCTGCATTTTCAGGTCCTACTCTGCTCTGGACTCTGTCCAACACCTCCATTTTCACAGAATTGTTAAGGTTGCAAAAGACCTCTAAAATCACAACACCCAACCATCATCACACCTCCACCATGCCCACCAACCACATCCACACAGCTCTTGAACACCTCCAGGGACGGTGACTCCCCCATGTCCCTGGACAGCCTGTGTCACTGCCTCACTGCTCTTTGTGAAAAGAAGTATTTCCTCATATCCAACCTGAACCTCCTCTAGTACAACTTGAGGTCATTGCCTCTCATCCCATCACTGTCACCTGGGAGAAAAGGCTGAGCCCCACCTCACCACAACCTCTTTTCAGGCGTTTCAGACAGAACAGTCCCAGGTCCCTCAGCCATTACAGATCCTTCACATCTTTGTTGTCCTCATAGAATCACAAGATTGGAAAGGACCTACAAGATCATCTAGTTCAATCATCCTCCCATCACCATTACTACCACGAGCTACTAAACCATATCTTTTAGCACCTATCCAGACGCCTCTTGAACACTGCCAGGGACAGCCACTCTACCACCTCCCTGGGCAGCCATTCCAGTACCTAACCACTCTATGAGAGACAAAGTTCTTCCTTATGTCTAATTTAAACCTCCTTTGGTACAACTTGCGGCCATTTTCTTGGGTCCTGTTTGTTGCCTGGGAGAAGAGGCCAAACCCCTCTTCATCACAGCCTCCCTTCAGGAAGTTGTAGAGTGCAGTGACGTCTCTCCTGAGCCTCCTCTTCTCCAGACTGAGCAATCCCAGCTCCCTCAGCCGCGCCTCGTAAGATTTGTGCTCCAGACCCCTCATGAGTTTTGTTGCCCTTCTCTGGACTTGTTCCAGATCCTCAATGTCTTGTACTGAGGGGCCTGAAACTGAACAGAGTACTCGAGGTGCAAGCCCAACTGGTGACTCACTCATTGTCCTCCTGCTCCCTGCTCAAGGTTTTGCATCCCACTCCCTCCTCCTGCTGTCCTGCACATTCACCTGCCTATGAAGAAATTCACAGTTCACCTCCAGTTTCCCTGCTGCACACCACATTGTACCACAGCCCACTTATGTCTGCCCTGGTTCTGCAACCCCTGTATGTTCACATCAGTGAACATTCGGCCTGTTCTGAGGCCCCCACAGGCCCAAAGGCCAGAAAAGGCGAACTATCAGACAGGGTGAAATGGCCAGTAAGTGCTGAAAGGAAAAAGTGCCAGCCTCATGTTTTGTACCAATCTATGCTAGTCATGTGGTACCTTTGCTTTTCTTCTTCACGTACGTATGCACGGAGCAGGCTGTCCAGAGAGGCTGTGGGTGCCCCATCCCTGGAGGTACTCAAGGCCAGGTTGGATGCATTGTGATCTGGTGGTAAGGGGTTGGAACTGTAGGAGTTTTAAGGTCCCTTCCAATCCAAACTATGCTATGATTTCATAATTCTCTCTGATACTCTGTCTGTTTCTAACTTTGCTTTACCTATCTGCAATGTGATAACTGCCATGCCTACTGAGAGCATCCACTCTGCCTAAAACAATGCAGCACTCTCATTAGAAACAAACAATACCTCTGCATGAAGAAGCTGAGTACTCTTTTGCCTGAAGAGAGAGAAAACAAGTGGAGAGTCAGTGACATGGCAAAGTCTGCAAGTGAGACACAGCCGAAGAGAAATCTGCAAATGTCATGAATCTCACTAGAAAACTGAAAGGGGCATCTCCAAGCCTGAGTGGGGGGTGAAACTGTGCCCATCTTGTCAGCTTTCCAGAGCAACAATGGCACAATGATTCCTGTTTCTACTACTTTATTTTAGCACCAGCAATTTTAAATGCAATTGGCAATCATCTCGCTCCGATGCAAAATACAGACCATCAGCTGCTCTTGGTCAGTGCTGCCCTTCAGTTCCTAGAAGAGCCCTGGAGCACACTGCCCTGCAAGATGCTAGCTCTAGTGGCTGGCAACAGCTTGTCAGCTTATGCCCCACTCTGAGCACCACACTGCTGCTTGGTTTATGCTTGGTTTTATGCTTTTACCAGTAAGCTGGCCTTCAGCAGAAGGATCTCCCCTCCATATGTCTGTAAAACACAGACTGCAAAGCGGGCATTGCAGGGCACCTGAAGGCTTTGGTTTAGTCTCAGTTTGAAGAGGGCTGACCACCTCGTATGTCCACACTCCAGTTACTAGAAGTTGGGCTTTAATCACATGGATGACCCTTGAGTGCATGTGGTCAAGTGTGTGATAGGGAGCTCCTTTTCACACAGTCTTTCTGAAACATTCCTGTAGCCTGCTAGAGAAAAGCAGAATTATTCATTGCACATATGTAGCAGTATATAACTTGTATGTTGCAGTAATTATTCACTGCTTTCTGCCTTAGTGCCTGTGTCTATTCTAAATGAGTCAGGATGGTTAAAACCTTGATGCTCTTGGAATAGCACATGCAATAGTATATTAAAATGCACTCTCCTGTATCTTTTAGCAGAGATTGTGCTGGTTATTTCTCTCTTCAACAAATGCAGCACACAAGAGTACAAGACACCCAGGCTCCCATGGGCAGGCACACAGCAGCTCCAGCTGTATGTAGGACATGGCCTAGCAGACAGTCAGAAAGTCCTGTACAAGGTTGTAGTCTTAACGTTATCTTGTTTTGTGATGTCCTTGTTTTGAATAATAGTTTTCCATAGAATGAGAAAGAGTTTGTTGAGGTATAGGAAGTTCTTGTGTCTCTGAGGGAAGAGCCTGCCATAGTCAGGTTTCTCATTCTTTCACATGCAGCAGAAAATTCCATAGGTGAACTTCGCTGTTTTGGTGTGAGGAAAAAGTATCAACATATGTGTTTTCCTTTGGGTAAATGCAAGCAAAGAAATCAAAATTTACTTACCCAAGGTCATTCAAGGTCAGAGGCAGGCAAGGGATTAGAAACCCAGATCTGAGAATTAATTAGGCCATTGTGTAAGCCACAGTGTGAATAAGCAAAAAGTCATGAGTTTTCCTAATGTGGTATCATAATATGACAAAATTGATACCTGAAAGCAGCAGCATTCAAACAGCAAACAGGAAACAGGGAAGAGATGGCTGTGTAGCCATGTGCAGCTCCTTGCTTTTCTACTGTAAGGGAACCCAGGACCTGGAAAACAGCAGGACAAGTGCAGGTACAGAACTGAATACTGACATTCCAGGGCAGAAATAAGTGACAAACTGTTACAGTAGAAAACACTTAGTCCATTATCCTAATTGAAATCTTCCACCCCCTTGTGGGCTACTTAAAGCCCACTGAAGTGATGGTTCCACTTATTTCAGTGCTATTTCTACCGGGCTACTACCGTTTGTGTAAGCGGTCTCTGCGTCACTTTGCTGGACTTGTTTTCTGTGAGGCTAGGCATACCACTGTGTGCAACACTAACTCCTCGTTGTCTGCATTGGTCTGCTCAGGGATTCTGCTTCACATGTGGAGGCAAGAGGTGCCATCACTAGAATCATGTCTGACTCATGCCAATCAGTGGTTTTGATCATTCCAGTTGTCATAAGAGACTGTCATTGCGTACACATTCAGATGTTAGCTTTGTACACTGCTGCACATCAAGGTGTCCCACTACTATTTCCTTCTAAGTGCTGCTGTTCTGCCTCCTCTTGCTGAGCAGTCATCCCATGTTCTGCCAAGCTACCTACTGTCTGTGCTCAAAGTCAAAAGACTTTGCAATCAGAAGAAAATAGTCTTGCTGCTTTCTAATTTATAAGGTAAGGCCTGAAAGAGCTTTGCATACATGCTGTTTTGTTTTGGATTTTGCATCAAGGACAATTATTCTGCCATAGTAATTTCCCAGAAAATGCGAAGAGTCTGGGAATCCTATAGATGGAAATGATATTTCTACACAAATGTCTATGAAAAGATCCTCCTTCCTTCCAGGTGTCCAGGCCTACTGGTGATGTCTTGCAATCCAGCTAGAAACTCGAAAAGCACAGAGCAATAGCACAAACTTGCTTGGACTCACGAGGAACATCAGATGATTGTTGATCTCAATTGGAGAACAAGCATCTCACTGAAAGAGAGTAGGACATGGTATTTTACCAGGAACATCCTTCTTCTGGGGAGATTATTTTGTCTTGGAGATAAACTAAAGTGAGTACCACTAAGTGTGCTTATCATCAGCTCAAACTTTAAGTAGAAATTCTCCTTTAGGGTGTTGGATATACAGTGCAGATGCTTACATGACTAAGCCTGTACTTTGCTGGCAGTTGCAGAAGCTTTTCCATCT